TTGCCCAGCTGCAAGGAGGACGCGCTGGGCTTCCAGCTGGAACAACCCACCATGCACGCGCCCAGCTGTGCTAGGTTGAGAGCGAAGGTCTGTCCTGAGAGCCCAGAAGCCTGGGAGGCACCCTCACCCACGGCCTGACATGTTTCCTTCGTGTGTGTGTGCGCGCGCGCACGCACTTGGCGTTTTTCATCCTTGACAGTATCACAGGTGTCCCCCATCTGCCCCTTTCGCCCCCTCACTTCGTGTGTGTTTTTTATTCTCTGTTCTGTCGCTACTTTTTTTTTTTTTTTAACACAGAGAGGAAGGGAGAGGGAGAGGGAGAGAGAGAAACATTAATAACGAGAGAGAATCATGGACGGGATGCCTCCTGCACACCCCACACCGGGGATCGAGCCTGGCCGGGAATTGAACCGTGACCTCCCGGTTCTAGAGTCCATAGGGAGCCTCGCCAGGAGGGGCCCTATAACATATCCACATGGTATTTGTGTTGTAGTATTGTCACCCAATAAAGGAGGTGGCATCCCATCATCTTTGCCGCATTATATTGGTCAGAAGAAAGTCACAGACCCTGCCCAACTCAAGAGCAGGGGTTATGGTCACCTTCAGGTGTGTTTTTCACAGGCAAGGACAGCTTTCCTCCCAACTATTCTTTCAAATGAGACATTTGAATAAGAAACAGCCTTGAAAATAGAAGCAGTGTCTTCCTCAATCCAGCCCGAAGGCATCTCTCTCTCTCTCTCTCTCTCTCCCGGGTGCCAGTACCGTGTGTAAAGTAAGGGTGACCAGGCTCCGCACAAGGGCCTATCTGATTAGTGGTAACAATAACGGCCGAGGCCGGGCAGCGAAGGTTGCACACGATCCTCTCATTTGACCCTCACAAAGCGCAGGCGGGTGCGCCACCCGGGGCTGAGCCGCACGGAACGGCGGACACTTGGTAGTTGTATGTGGCTCACCCCAATATTGTTAGCATCCCAGTTTTTCTGTTTTAATCCTCACCTGAGGATATGTTTCCATGGATTTCTAGAGAGAGTGGGAAGGGGAGGGAGAGACAGAGAGAGAGAGAAACGTTGATGTGAGAGAGACACGTCGATTAGGTTGCCTCCTGCACGTGCCCTCACCAGGCCCAGGGGTTGAGCCTGCAACCGAGGTACATGCCCTTGACCAGAATCAAACCCGGGACCTTTCAGTCCACGGGCCGACGCACTATCCACTGAGCCACACCGGCGAGGGCTGTCCCAGATTTAGAGGCGGAAATGGGGCCGATAACCCGGAGGGAGTGGGAACCTGGCTGGGGCACAGGGCTCCTCCCTGGGGGCCCCGGGGCTCATTTCTGTGGACGGGAAGACCCCGAAAAGATTTCGGCATCACCCCGCCCCCTCTCTTCCATCTAGCTCCATCCTCCGAACCCAAAACTGGGCCACGCAGCCCCTGGGTGGGAGGAGCTGCCAACGTGTGAGGCTTTCTGGGCCGAGCCTGTGGTTCGAGAGGATAAAGGGGTGGGTGGTTATGAAACAAGGAATGACCTGGAACGTCGGGGGCCGGGGCTGGCGGGGCTGGCAGGACTGGCGGAGCTGACCCGGAGGCCGACCGGCAGGTGCAGGTGAAGCCAGGCAGCCAGGCAGAGGGAGGACTGCGGGCTCCGGGGCCCAGATCTCGGCTCCTCCCTGGCTGCGGGACCCTGGACACGTGTCTTCCCCTCTCTGGGCCTCCGTGGACTGAGGCCGGATACACTCCTCTCTGCCAGGCTGCGGGCAGGGTTGGCACAGATGTACCGGTGGGGCTCGGAGCACAGCGTGGTACACAGTAAGCGCTCAGGCCACGGGGACTGGAACGTCATTGTCACGGGGAGGAGAGACTGGCGCTGCGTCTGGGGGGGAGGTCTGCCAGGGGGGAGGGTGGCACAGGGCTTGCCTGGCAGCGCCGTGCCCAGGGCCACAGGGAGGGAGTGCGGGGCACGGTGAGTCCCAGGAGGAGGGGGTGGGGAGCACCGGTCCCTGGAAGTGAGGCCTGGGGACTGGAACTGTGTCAGGGCCCAGGGAGCCACAGGGGGGCTGGGAGCGCTGGGGCCTGGGCGTGGGGACTGGAGGCAGGGAGGCCGGGAGGAGGCCAGGACAAGAGTCCAGGGGAGAGAATCAGGCCTGACCAGCGCCGGGGCCACAGGGACACAGAGGGGACGTGGCAGGGAGAGTTCAGGGCAGAGGGAAGGGGCTGATGACGGACAGGACACGGGTGTGCGTGGGAAGAGGAGCGCGGGAAGGGGAGCAGGGGGAGGCGCGGCTGGGAGTCTGGCCGTGTGACTGGGGGAATATGGGGCTGCTCTGGGCTGGGGACCTGGGGGAGGAGCAGGTTTGGGGCACAGATTGGCTGACGCCCCATTTCTAACCTGAAGGAGGAGGATTCTACCTAAGGGGCTGGACTGCCCCCTGCCCCCTGCTGTGACCTCTGACCCAGCCTCACCCCTCCCCTCCCACCCACAGCACCCTCCCCAATCCCCAAACCCTCAGAGGCCACAGCCCAACCCCTTGACTTGGAGATGGGGAAACCGAGGCAAAGAGGTGGAGTCACCCAGACAAGTCTGGGTTGAGACCCTGATGTCCAAATTCTGGGTCTGGCGTTTCTTCCTTACCTGGGTCCTCTCCCTCCGCTTCCCCCTCCTTCCCCCACCCCATCCTGCCTTCCCACCTGACCCCTCTCTCCTGCCCCCAGGATCTCCCCGGCTCCGTGCAGCGTGTCTGCCAGTTCCTGGGCCGGCAGCTGGACGAGGAGGCGCTGGGCTCCGTCGTGGCTCACTCGGCCTTTGATGCCATGAAGGCCAACACCATGTCCAACTTCTCGCTGCTGCCCCCCAGCCTGCTGGACCAGCGCCATGGTGCCTTCCTCCGGAAAGGTACGGGGCCTCTGGGGGTCCCCGCTCCCCAGGCCACGGCCTGGCTGTGTGGCTCGGGCGCGTTCCCCAACCTCTCTGGGCTCCCGTTTCCCCACTGTCACCTGGGGGTGCTCCCAACAGAAATGCCTTCACTGCGTCCTGTGGGCCCAGGATTGACGCCACACACAGGGCTTGGCACCACGGGGCGGGCACAGCAGGTGCTGGGGGTGTGCCTGTCACCCCAGGCCTACCCCCCCCACT